GAGGAGACGACACGACGCAGCCGGGCGTCACACGCACAGGGGGGGGGGGGGGACGACACGACGCACTGCACTGCGAGCAACAATCCGAACACGAGCTGGGGAGTGGCGGGCGGGCGGCTCTCTCCTACTCCCCCCGTCCCCTTCCTCCGGGCCTGCGGCGGTATGCCGTGCCCAAGTGCATGATGGCCGTTCTTGGTTCTATCCGGTAACATGCATCCTATATGCCCCCCCCCCCCCCGTATCTCGAGCGCTTTACAAAGCGCGCTTTCCCCTCCTACCCTGCGCCTTGTAAAGCGCTCGAGAAAGGGTGAGCATGCAGGATGCATGTTACTGGATAGAACCCTTGTCGGGGCAGGAAGCTTGTTCCCGGTCACACACGAAGAGAAGGCGAGGGGTGCAAATAGGCAGACCAGCTTAAGATCGCATCGCGATTTTCCCCCCCCCCCCCCCCCTCCCCTCACCCGCAAACTCCTATACCGCCTGTGCTTCTTCAGTCGCGACCTTAAGCTGGTCTCGGTATAACTTCGAAAATCCCTGTAAGCTTACCAGAGCAATCCCCTTGCAATAAAGCATTCCGGTAAAGCTGAAATGCAGAAGAATGCGGGCAGGAAGAAAACGGAAATCGCTATGCTTTAACAAGGTGGCTTCCGTTTTCTTCTTCCCCGTATTCTTCTGCATTTCAGCTTTACCGGAATGCTGTATAGACCCTATAGACCATTCCGCTCGTGCCTCTCGAAAAACAAATGCACCGGAAGTCGGCTATTTCAAAACGAAATTTAGCCTACCTAGAGCCCTAGAACTGTTATAAAGTGACAAACTAGTTCTCAACGGAATTAATTCATTACGTTTGTACAAAATTTTGGCATCATAAGACCTCTGGAGCCGGTTTTACGGTACTTCCGGTGCATTTGTTTTTCGAGACTATCGCGATTAGCTGTTCCAGCGGAATAGTCTATTCTACAAACTGCGGCACACACGGCCAAAGATATTCGGCGTACGAAAATAATGATTCGTTTGTTGAGTTTTGATTACGAAGTAGTGACCCACCAAAGGCACCAGGCAAAAAGATCGTTCATAGCGAGCCGACACTCAAACGGGCCGAAGGCCCCTTATCCGATAGAAGCTACATTACACCGTGAAAAATCAAAAAGGACGGGCCTGCCGCTGGCAGGCCAAGCTAGGCCCGCTCCCTGCCGAGCCAAGTTGCTGGTGGAGCGAAGCGGAGCTGGCGACTTAGTTTGGCGGAAGAGCGGGCCTAGCTTGTCTTGTTCCCTGCATTCTTCTGCATTTCGGCCTTACCGGAATGCTTTATACCTTATAAAGCATTCCGGTAAAGCTGAGATGCAGAAGAATGCGGGGAAGAAGAAAACGGAAATCGCTATGCTTTAACAGAGTGACTTCCGTTTTCTTGTCCCTCGCATTCTTCATCATTTCTGCTTTACCGGAATGGTTTATTGTAGACAAGCCTCAAGATAGATGCATGCCAGGCGCGTCACAGCGCAGCGTTTCGTGTTACAATATCGCGAAGCCTGTTACGCGAGACCAGCGAGACGTGGTCCGGCGTTCATGTATCTTGTTGTAAACACTTACCATTTTCGTGTCCATTGGTCTCCTCATGGGGTCACAGTTCCGTAAGCAGCCGAACGAAGTTGCCGAGGGGGGCGGCCGCCGTGGGTCAGAGGCGAGGCGAGCGACGGTGCGAGAGCGAGAGGAGACGACACGACGCAGCCGGGCGTCACACGCACACTGAGCGGGCGGGGGCGACGCGACAGGCTGCGCAGAAACCGGGGATCCGAACACGAGCTGGGGAGTGGCGGGCGGGCG